TGATGAGTCGTCACGATGTGCCTGTCAAACTGGATAGTATGAGGCCGATAAGATTAAAAATAACTCGTAACTACTACCGTAGTTTATATGGAGTCCTGAATATGAATCTTGAGCCTTACTTATTGAAACTTAATATTTGTAGGGCTACAAATTATTGCTAGTTGTTGCTCCCGACTTCTTCCTCGTGGAATTAAAAAATACATTGATAAATATAGCTTGTTTTGAGTCGTAACGTACATAGCTTTAAAATATTGGAATATTTTTTTAAATCGACCTAGTAGTTTTTGAATTTCTACAATAAATATAAAAATGTTAAATTTTGGCGTCTCATAAATGTTAGAAATTTGGCATCTCAACGTTTTGTTATGGATAATATTTTTTTTTATTTTTTGAATGTGTTCTTGTCCATGTCTATCGATATTCTCTGCCCCCTTAATTATAGATACTTAATAAGTAAATAAAATTGTATTACATATTAAAAAAAAAGTTTACTACTTCTAACTTTGTGATAGTTTCGTCTCTTAATTTGTTGTGTACTCCACATTTTTATTTACAAGAACCTGTTTACGGCTCCTTAATATGTCAAAGCGACACGATCCAAGTCATTAACTCGGTAGCCAGTTCAATGAGAGACATTTTCTTTTTTACCTTAGTCCTTGCGTATGACCATTGGTTAAAATAATTAGAGTATTCATTAAATTTATTGAAGGGGGGTAATTGGAGACTCGTTGATATTAATCGAGCAATGTGCAAGTATGATAATTCTATTGTGTTTTATGGTAATTTGATTTAAGCGATATATATAAACATGATAGTTTTTTAATAGTGACGTCGTTAAATTGCACCTTGGTAACTAAAGCATTCTTGTGACATTGTTTACAGTAATAACTCCTTAACGATTTTATTCATTCACTAGCTATTCCCGTGCGGCTTCTTATTGTTTACATTTGTCAAATTATCAATAGCAAATGTCAAAATGACATGACATGACTAACCTTAGCAATCTTTTTTTCTTGATATTAGCAGCAACTTATGGTCTCTTTCCCATATTAGGGTTAAAAACCCCTATTATATCCAAAATATTTACCCCCCTAAGTTTAATGGCGTGAAAATATATAACCTATATCGTGACGACAGTGGTGGGCTTTTTATTAAAAAAAGAATTACTCAAAAAGATGGTGTAATTGCTGACATCTTAGGCAACAAAGTAGTGTGTGTTCACGCTTTATTATAATAGTATAGATAACTACGAATACCTTGTTTCAAAACTTATATAGTAGACTTTGTAATAAAAAAATATTTTTTTTTATTTAGTGTATTGGGCATTTTCCAACTTGCATATAATTTATTTTAATACGACAAAGTGGTACAATTATCCTACGATAATACAGTATATCAGATCATTACTACTGTATTTTATGTGGCAAATGATAAGCTTACGAAATGTAAACCGTTTAAAAAAGCTTTTAAGCGTCGACACTTTGTACAGCGTTATAGTGTACCAGTTAATTAGCATTAGTAATTTTATTGGCGCTAGCGTTTATAAATTTTTATATAGGCCCGTTACTGGAATGATGAGAGCGGGTCGATATAAACTCCTTGCATGGTCATAACGAGTTCTATTCATTACATCTAGTGTAATTACCAGGTCTTATCGTACAACGGTAATAGGGACACAATTTATTCAAGTATGTCCTGTTACAAGATGTTCGTTTCAGGTGCTTGTATAAGAATCATTTAAGTCGGGAACAGACTGTATAATTTTATAGTTCTACTTTTCATTTTCTTTTAAACTATTAATAAAGAAAAATCGTTCGTTACAATTTTAATCTATTATTTCGTTTGTTATTTTCTTTTTATCTTTCTCAATTATGTTAAATGTAATGTGTTTTCGTAACCCCTCTTTTTTAATTTGACAAAATCAGAAAGAATAAATAACTAGTAAAATTACAATTGTTTTGAAAACTATTGTTTAAAACAGTCAATAATTTTTTTGTCCGCAATCATTCCATAATTTGTAAAACGTATGGTGACCCTAGTATCAATAGTGGGTTGGACCTATATGATGCGCGCGCGCATCTCACGAGAACTATTCACGTGACAATCTTGAGAAATATCAGTTCGCAGTACTGCGCCTATGAAAGCCGAGAACAATAACTATGAGAGTTGGTACACAACTTAATTACTTCCAATTACACCCATATCTATCCGTTAACGCGTATCTTCTTTGAACCATAAACTATTTTATTTGCGGATTGAAATGCGTATAATGAGATGTGAAAGAAAAAGTAATAAGACCGTACTCGCCTGTCGTAAATGATTAACTAGATAATCAATCAATTACTCTATAGTTTGTGGTATGTTGATTTATTTCGTTAATAGCTCCTGAGCTATGGCTATTTATAACTATGCTGTTAATAATTTCATTTGATTAAACAGACCCTCTAACCCTTATCAGTGCTTAAATCGTAGACCATTAAACATTTAGCTATTGAAAAAGGTGGTTCTACGTTTTGAAATACTTGAGTCTTATAAACATTTTGTAAGTCTAATAAGGTTAATTGCCGTTAAAATTTCAAATGTTTTGTAACGATTATGAAAAGAAAGCATCGGTCGGTCAACATTTGTCGTGATGGTTTGTCTGAGCAGAATGGCATTAGCAGAATGGAACGGGTTTGCGGCCTGGTAAAAACTGGACCGCTGACGAAGCGGGAATGTATCGGATCAGAGGCGAGTCATGAAGGAATTCCATCCGGAATCTCTAATTAAAACTTTATCTAGCCCCCACTTTGTTTTCGCGGAATCCATTCGTTTTATCGCCGGCTTGAAACGCCTCGAATAATTCTAATCGTTGAGTGCATTTAATACTCTTCAGTTCGGTAAAAAAGTCGAATGGGAACTTATTTTGATGGACGTGACAGGTGAATAAATATTGCCAGTTCTAAAAAAAACCCTATCAGACTAAAATAAGTAGTAATTGATATGCCCCTTTTTGCAGTAAATTCCTAGTCCTAGTAATTAATCGACAATGCGCTTGGAACTAATTCTTTTGGCTCTTGCAAACTTTGCCACTTCGTTAGATTATTTTATATTTGTTATATTCAACACCTCAAGAGAATGGCTTAACTTTTGTAAATGTATGCATATGTAAAGTACAAAAACCATTTAACTTTACATTCTTCCAACAAACCTGACACGTCTAGTTAAGTTATGAATATTTAAATACAACTAAAGTTATTTAACATAACTTATATTGATTTGCAGAACAGTCGTATTTTTCACTTATCCGCATTCGTAGGCATTCTTGTCGTGTTTCTACTGTACAAAAACAAGTGGAAGTCCACTATTATGAAGGCATATAACAGGCCACCATAGAAAATTACGAACTATTCAATTAAAAACCATTAAATATGATTGTAAATCTTTCGAGAGTAACAAATGAACTTAAGTATAATTTAGTTATTTATACAAGTATGTTGAATTATCTAAATGGGCTTCAATAGTTTATCGTTTAATTAGACCATTAATATTGTGCACTATCGTGTGGCATTTCTCAGTTAGATTCAATGAAAATGCACGATCCAGCGCCAATACAATTCCTGAACACAACGTGGGAGTAAATCGATTTATTTATTGCAACACTTCGCCTCATTTACACTTCTATCTGGCGTTTTGTATTCTAACCGCTTTTGTTTGCTACATAAAGCTGGTACGCGATTACCTCCAACTTCTGAAGCGAATTATTAAATGTCATATTAGTAATAAATCGAGCAAGGTTCAGTTTTAACAACACCAATAGAAAACTATACTTTACTATTGACAAGTTTTTTCGTTCAAGTCTATTTAGATAAAGGGTAGTAACGTGCAAATGGCGTCGAACAAGTTACAAAGATGATCCTAGGACAAGTATGGTGGCATCGATGATCCACCGGGCGTTGAGCGCCGAGCGGCGACGTCCCCAGCCCGTCAGTCGTGTCCGAGCGACACAAACACCGAAATGCTAAAAATGGCATAAATAATTTATACGTTGGCCGCTCGGCCGCCGGTTTTTGCACCGTCCGACCTGTCCACTGATGCATTTATAATATAAGGGTGCTTTTTGCACCGTCCCCCGGCCGCGTTGGAATGCAACCGCTAAAATTGATCTTGTTTCAAACGTGGCTGGAAAGTTAAGCTGCTGGCTTGCGCGACGTCAAACTGCGCTATTGGTGTACCAGACATGGATGTGTCGTTAATAGATGTGTCATATTTCGTTTTAATTAAATGGAAATTGACTAGCTTCTGCTATTCACGGAGAAGGTGTTGCTGAATTTTTAGAATCTAATTATGTCCTTTAAAACATTGTTGCTAAATAGTAACAATGTTTTCAATGGGTTGTAACAACATTTGTTAAGTATATTTGAATTGCTTCGTAATATTAGCGGACAATGGCTAGCAGTAAAACGTATCATTTCGGAGGCGATCAAAATGAGTAGCATGTATAAAACTATCTATTACTTATTGACTTTATTTTGATGGACAGCTTTACAGTCCTATTTATATGTTTTATATTCTTCACATTCAAAGGTAATAAAATATCATTGTGATAGCGATTCGATTCGCTACATAGATTAGCTACGCGTCTAGATGGCGTCTTTGCACCGTGAATGACAATTGTGTGCAGGAAATTACCATAAATATTTGCAAACGAAATCGTGCAATTCTTATCTTGTATAAAATATAATATAGTGTTGTTTTAAAAGATAACAGCCTTTTAAAAACCTAGGTCTTTTAGCAATAATAAAGGACTGTGTTAGTTTTGTTTGTTACTCTAATAATGTAAAACGCATAAGAAAGGAGGAGACAATTTCTTGGCGTTTTGCCAATGGCCAAATGAAGTTAGTGAAAAGTGTAAAAAGGGGTGCATATTTTTTTTAAATGTTTAAAATAATAAATTAATTAAATACATCTGTCGCTTTTATAAATTAATAATGTATTAATCGCTTCATTTTTAATTACAGTAAACAAGCCGTGTTCGACGGCAAAAGGGCGATACGAGGTGGAATTCCGTTCGTGTTCCGTAAGTACAATAATTCGTTTCTTAGTTTTTTATTATATTTACAAAAGGAAAGTAATTCATTCTCTCTTCATTTTACATAATTTATTTACATGTTTACACAATTTACAAGTTAAAGCTTACACGACAATTCCAAATTGTATAAAATTACTTACCTTGCTTTTCAATGTCGGACTGAGAGGGCAATGTTTTTTGTTTATATTCCATTTCATTATGTGTTGTGGTATTTCCAGCTCAGTTTGGGCAATGGGCGTTCGGTCCGCAGCACGGGTTCGCGCGCGTGGCTCGCTGGCATGTAGAGAAGCTGCCGGAGCGGCTGGCCAGCGGCGACGTAGAGGCCATCTTCAGCCTAATGGATGACGACTTCACGCGCTCCATGTGGCACTTCCAGTCAGTATATCACAGCTAACCTAGATGATTGATTTCCTTCACTGTTCTATCCTACTTCCTACTAATATTATAAATGCGAAAGTTTAGATTTGGATGGATGGATGTTTGTTAGAGTTTGTAGCGTAAACGGCAAAACGGATCTCGATGAAATTTAGCATAGACGTAGAGCTATATATAATCTACTTACTTTTGATTTTTTTGATTCCATGTGTACAAAGTCGCGGGCGAAAGCTAGTACTAATATAATAATGCGTAAACATACACTTCTTGAATATGTAGAATGTTGGCAAATATTTTTTAATAAAAAGCCCTACACTATTTACATGCTTTAGAGTATATATTTACGCTATTAAACTTAGGGGTTAATTAATTGGAAAACACCTTCGTGGGGGAAAGGTAAAAAAAACGTAGAGCCAATAGCAGCAAAGAAGCAACATATGGTGACGGTAATTGTTAGCCAATGCCAACGAACTTCGTTGTTATTTACGCATATACGCAATAAAATAGAGTTTTTATAATTACTTGTAGATGAAGCCGCATGGGAACAACCAGATCTATGATTATTTTTATTTAGCCTTTTTGTTCCAGTAACAGAACCCCATTCTCGGTATAGGCCTTCAACCTTTTCTTATTAAATATTGCGATAATTAACAGCATTGTGGGTATGGTTCAGGTTCAGACTGACGTACCGACTGATCCTGCGCGAGAAGGAGTTGCACTTTAACATCGGGGTGTACAACCCCAGCAAGGAGTTGACGTTCAGTTGCCAGCTACTGCTGCACACCTACTTCAAGGTGCCCGACGTGCGCCGCTGCCAGATCACCGGCATGCATGGGTGCATGTTCGTTGATAAGGTAACCAAGAGAATTAGTTACATTTCAATCACTAGTGAATGTTTTATTTGTACCATAGAGATATAGGTCCAGAAAGCATCAATTAGGTTATGTTGAGTGTGTCCAGGTTCTTTTAGAAGGGAGTTTTTTTATAGGGTGGCAAACAAGCAAGCGGCCACCTGCGACAATGGTGAAGCGAGCGCTGCCCATAGACAACCGCAATGGCAGATGCGTTGCTTACCATTAGTAGACGGAGAAGACGCATATTAAGAAGATAGTATCTCTCCCATGCGCGTCCTTCATACCTTTTCCTTATAAGAAAAGGGTGAAAAGAGGAAGATACTAAAATTAGGCCTCCGGAACCTACACTCCTCAGACTGTAGGTGGAATTGCTTCTACCTCACGTCTGTCTTCTGTGTGGTCGTGGTATATCGACCTGACCTTACAGTGCGAAGATGTTAAATTGGGCTCTACCATTTAAAAGTTCTGCGTAGAAAGTTTAAAGAAGAGGGTTGTATAATGATGTGTGCAGACGCGTGAGGGCGCGGTGTACCAGGAGACGCGCGAGGTGGTCACCATCAACGAGTGGACGGACCGCGTCTACCAGAACACGATGCAGGAGCACATCATCACCAACGTCGTCAGCGGCCGCAAGATGCGCATACAGAAGTACAACTTCCCAGACACAGGTCTGTGATTACACTATCAGATCAAAACTACGCCCTATCTCACAGTCCGCACAAATATTCATGTTTTACGTGAAAACTTTTAAACTTTATTTATTTATAAAAAAACTACGTTAAACATTAAAGTAAATTATCTTACTTCTTACTAATGTTATAAAGAGGAAAGATTTGCATTTTTGTATGCATGAAATAACTCAAAAACTACCCAGTAGTTTATTTTATTTTCATTTTCAAATTCGTGCACCATTAAAAGGCTATATTATCAGTAAGTAACATAGGCATGTTTTTTTATTTCGACAATATTTGTCATAGATGTAGAGGATAGTGTGAAAGAACACATAGGCTCTACTTTTAATTTTTTATTCCACAGCCGGAGTCGCGAGCGAAAGCTAGTGACGGATAAAAAAGTATGTGTATTTGATATTGGTTGCAGTGATCTGGAACCCGTGGGCGGAGTTCGCGAAGGAGATCGGCGACTTCGGGGACGACGAGTTCCCCAACATGGTGTGCGTGGAGGCGGGCCGCGTCGCCGCGCCCATCGTGCTGCTGCCCGGCACCGCCTTCGAGGCCAGCCAGATACTGCAGGTACACTCGCACTTCATCACTACCTCCTCCATCTCTGTACCTCCCCACTGACCTCGGAGCATATCCTAAGATAGACTAGGACATAGTCAAGTCAACCATGCAGGCCCACTGACATCTCATGTCACAAAATATCCCCAATCGTAATAAGTCAAACGCCATTTCGCGATTTGTCATGTCCTTAGGCCATTGGTTTTTTTATACATAAAGGGGGCAAACGAACGGCGGAAACACAGAGGTGGTCAACCATGGATGGACCAGAGGAGAAGTGGTTGCGATAAGACCTCAAACATTTAGAACCTAATATTAGAGTTGGCATGTTAAAAACCAATATACTCTTTAAACGTGCCAACTTCTGCGTACAAAATTTACTATACTTTAGTATTTTAAGTAGCACCATAATAGCAATTTATATAAAAAATGTTCATTTTCAGGTGATGTAAGCGTTTGGTGTAAGGTCGTTCTCAGCCGTCCACGTGGCGACGTCACGCGCCCGCATCGCCCCCGCCCCGCACACTCGGCCTCGCTCCCTGCCCCCTGGACCCGGGGCATCGCCCCCGCCCTGCTCCCTGCCCCCTGGGCAACACCTACGCCCCGCACACTCGGCCCCGCCGCTTGCCGCTGCTCCCCGGCCCCGGGTAATCGCCTCTGGCCCCTTAAAATTGTCTCCCCCCCCGCTTCCCAGCCCAGGGGCATCGCCCCCGCCCCACATACAGCAACCGATTATAACACTTATTGTTAGAATAAGCACCAGTTTCTTTTGCATTCCGTACCTACTTAATACTGCCCTATTATATTTTCTTAAATAGTCCCTATTGTAGATTTGGTATAAGATCTACTGAGCAGTTTGTGTTTTACTTTTTTTGTTATTTCGCATCTTTTAAACGATTAGATCGTCTCTAAATATTTTCTTCCTTCCACGTCTTCCATCTTGATATGTATTTTGCGTTTTTTTTATACTTTTAGGCAATAAAAAAGACAATACAAAATTTAATTCCAAGTGTTTTTACCATTCCAATATTTTTTTCCTTTCTAGATTTTTTAATGATTAGAAAATGTTAGATAATTTTCCTATAATTTTACGGGGCTAAATTTAATTTACTTTAAATGTAGCTTTTAAAGTTATTTCCATACGTTTTAATAATAGTGTTACGTTAAATGTTATCTCTTAAGATCTTCAAGTTATTTTGTAGAGTATCCCCCGAAATAGTTAAGTTTCTGGCACAAATACAATACCTTCGCTAAAACACTTGTACAAAAAATATGCCTATCTCGCTCATTCTCATTGATAAAAAGAGATAGCTATATGTTTGGTACGTTTCTTTTACGCATTGGAAACCACGGTTATGCAATCTTTATATTATTCCAATCCAGTAATCGAAATACGCTGGGTAACAGGATTGTACTTTTTGGGTTTGCAGTAATCCAGTGCTGATATCGATAACTGGACTGGAATAAACTGGGCGTTAATAAACTTTAAGGCAATCAATAATTAACTATAGTACTAGCTTTTAATACTCAGTACATCGCATATTTTAGTAACTTATGTTAACATACTAAGTAATCTGTAACGAAACACGTAATTCATTTGAATAATTTTGTAAACCACGAAACAATTCCATTTAGACCATTTTTTTATTATTTTTTACAACCAGTCCTTAATGTAAATACCCTTCAGAATTTTTTTGTACAAAATATGGAGATTTTTTAAGTGCACATTGTTCGTATTTTTTTGTTTTGGAATAATTTGGAGGCTTTTAATGTATACGACATTTAATATAAGAATATGTACTTAGATATAGTGAGTTCCTTATATCACACGGTACGAATACATTTGGCTTGTACAGTCAGCTACATAAATGAATACGTTTTTAAAACTAAAAACGGAAGTAAGGGAAAATACGTGCATCCATATTTGAATGGCCTGTATAAGTTTCTGAATCTGTGTAAATGTTTACATATGCCGCTGACTGTACAGTAATTTATCTCTGTCGAATAAAGTCGGAATTTCCATATATTAAGTGTTTGTGAACCCGAGTGACCCAACTATCTTAAAAACTAATAATCTTGCAAACAAAAAGAAAATTAACAAATAAAGATTTTACTGTCATTTCTCGGGTCCACTTTCTTATCTTATTTTGTGTCAATAAGTAATTTTACAAATTTACTGATATTGTATAATGCACAATTTTTGTGCCGTCTTTTTCGGTATTACTGGTATGTGCATAATGCAAAAGTGTAAAATCCCAGTAAATAATGTCTATTTAAACAGGTAACAGATTAACTTACGATTAGCTAGTATGTAATCTGGTACGGTATTAGGATGAACAAACATCGAAACTAGCAACGAAGTGTACTTTTATAGGTGCAATAAAGTTAAATAATGTACTATTGGTTTTATTTCACTATCCCTGTCTCGTAAACCTTACTAGAAATCTTTGACGCCATTTTACAATACATTATCCGTGTTAGCTACCCTCCTGTGAAATCCCATCAAAATATGCCCAGCCGTTTCGGAGATTACCCGGAACAAAAGCGGCTTGCGAATAGTCACACAGACAAAAAAAATTAATACGATTTTCGTTATACATGTGGCGGAAATGCGAATGTTAAGATGGATGTGGGGGGTAACACGATTGGATAAGATACGAAATGAGTATATTAGAGGAAGTTTGAGAGTAGCCCCAGTGGTTGAGAAAATAAGGAGTAAAAGGTTAGAGTGGTATGGGCATGTTATGAGAAGGGATGAATCGCATGTAACAAGAAGGATGTTAGTTATGAATGTGGAGGGGTACATCGGTAGAGGAAGACCTAGAAAGAGATGGATGGATTGCGTGAAAGGTGACATGATCAAGAAGGGAGTGATGGCTGAGATGACAGATGATAGAGTGCTTTGGAGGACGAAAACCCGGTGCGCCGACCCTACTGGAATAGGATAAAGCAGGGGAGATGATGATGGTGATGATTTGAAAAAAAATCCTCTAACATGCAAAGAATTCCGAATGAAGACTTCATTATCATAGACTAAATGAAACAATGTACAGATTTAAATATTTTTTTAATGTTCTACAACTAAAATATGCTTATGTTTACACATTGGCTTCTTTATCAATATTTTTAACATCCCATACACCAACTTCCAATAATACATCCTTCTTAGATTCAAAGTATTCCTTGTACCACATTATGTGATCTTTTTTCTCTTGCGCGGTGTAGAATGGATTCTTTGAAAGACCAACACACACTAACTCCATGAAATGTCTGATTGGTCCGTGTCTAGGACACCAACCTTCTAAATGCACATCTAAGAAAATATGCTCAGAAAAATGTACATTATTTTCGTCTTCCAGTCCTAAAATAAACGTAACAAATATTCATATTCATATAATGCTAAATCAAAGTATTATATCAACCCCATACAACTGTTACAATTGTAAAAGTTTGGATGGATGGATGTTTCTCCAAAATCTCAATGAAATTTGGCACAGATGTAAAACTGAGTCTGGATGAACATATATGCAATTGCTAAGTTTTTTTTTTAATTCAAACAGATAAAAAGGTATGAAATAAAAATTTTGCTTATAAATTTAAAATGCCATTGTAATTGTACAGAGTAAAATATTTACCTTGTTCATTATTAATAGGGAACTGCCAGACTTTCCCCTGCTCAGTCCACTGTACCATCTTCTGGAAGTAATTAGCTGGAGGTTGTAATGTAGCTAAATCTAACTCTCTTTGGTTCAATCTCTCCCACACATCAAGCTTTGTGCCATAATTCTCTTCTTTAGCTTTAAATATACCTAATGGTTCTCCGCCAAATATATTGATAACTGTGGCTTGAGGTGTGCTATTAAAAGAAAAAGAATTCAGGTCTTTGTAATCAAAAAATAGTAATAATAATGTGTAAACTTCTTACCTCCGTTTAACAAATTCTTTTCTTTGTACAAATCTTGTTTTAGGAGCTTCTGTCCGTGCTTTAGCCACGAGACGTTTAACTTGCTGGCCACGAGTTTCTGTTTTGAAGCCTTCATCACCCTCTTTTGTGCGATCCACTTTCATTCCTACTAATAAGTCACTAGAAAATAGATAAAGTTAAAGGTTCAATGTTTTTATGATAACTTGCTTTTAGAGATAGATTTTAAATGTAGCTATCAAAGTAAAAGTATGTGTAACTTATACTGACCTTAAGCTTGTGGAGGTTTGATTAATTTTTCCGAGCACTTTTGACAACAATTCTGCTTCAGTCTGTTTGACATCTCCACCAATTGCTTGAGCAACTTCCTCAGCTGCTTTGGTAAGATTCTCTTCTGTAAATATTAATTAGTAAATTAAATGAGCGCTTGAAAGTTGACATGACCAAGAAGGACTATGATGACGGGAGATAGATTAACCAGGAGGATGAAAAACTTAATACCGTCCCTACAGGAGAAGGGCAAAGACGTGAAGTAGATTTTATTCTATTAAAGATATTTTTTTCTTTGTAATTTTGTATCAAATATTTTGATATATTCAGCTTACTTGCCTATTTTTTGTGTTTTCCTTTCTATCTCATCGCCTTTCGGTTTCCGGTTTCTCTCAGGAGCAACAGTGAACTTCTCTGTATATTCGTTTTCGCTTATTTTAGGCGCTGCCATCATACTTTTTAGAAGAGCTTGAATTTTTTCTGTTGCGTTCTCAGTTTTATTTTGTGCTTTATCGTCTTTCTCTTCTATATTTGCAATCTTTCCATCCTTTTCTGGTGGTTTCTCCGATAAACATCTCACAATTATCCTGAAATCTCTCCTGAATTTTAGTCTGAAAATAACAAATATAATAAATATGTGAAAAACATATAATGCTAAATTTAAATGAAAAAAAAAAATCATAGAACGACTTGAAACCTTGTTAACATTTTTTTTGCTGCTTTTTACTATGTAAGGTTTAAAGTACTTGTATTGTAAATAAATACTTGATTTATTTTCTAAGAGGTTTTTGGAGGTTATGTTAGTGATGTGATTGTGACGTTTTCGACTCATAGAGTAAAAATATGCGCGATGCGAATGACAGATTAGAAAATCGATTTCTTGCTCCTCGAAAGAAATAAAACTTTTTGTATAAAAAAATTTTTCGACCCAAAAATAACGATTTTCTTGTGTTTGTTTAATTTTCTTCCCAATTATTGATACATTTTTACTTTCATGACACATTCATAGTTTATTAAATGCCCTTGTCGTTAGGTTGTTAGTTAATATTCCCACCTCTTGAATACCAATGGTATACAAATCAAACCTTTAAAAAATTCCACTGTAAATAAAGTCTTTTGATATCACGATAAGTATTATGTTTAGCTCACAGATATATAAATCAATTTTTGTATGAGTATGGTATTTCATGTAGAGGCTTGAGTTGTGACAAAACCATCATTATTTGTAGTAAATAACGTAATAAAAGCAAAATAAAACGAATAAGTATATTTCAATGTTTAAGGCACTTTATTGGCGGACGGGACTAATTACCGTTTATATTTACAGTTAACATCGAATAATCCTAAATTCCTTACTTAATACAAAACATTTTTGTAATACAATTTGATAATTACACAAAACATATTACTATTGACACAATAAAATACATAAATATTATCAATAATGTATGTAGTAACAATAAAAGGAGTTTTGTCTTCGCTGCAGTATAACATGTTTCATCAAGTATTTATTTTTAGTATTCATAATGTCACGTAAATATTCGTCAAAATACTTTGTTTTTGTGGGTTTTTCAGACAAAACATGTATACAAAATATATTTGGCATCTCTATTTTTGTAGGAGAGAGAATGCAAAAATTCTTGCAGGAGTGTTTTGGCTAAAATTAACCCAGTTATTGTACAAATATTTCGTATTACAAAAAAAAAAAGTTTGTCATAAACTTTAAAGGAATATTGCATATTATTCCACCATAAGTTGAAAACTATCGGTAACATATTATGAAAAATATTACTAAATTACAAAATAAACATCACTATTCTTATAAATAACTTAGCACAAGTAGCACTGCGGTTACAATCACAAATTATTACAAATATAAATCGGAAATTGAAAGCGGCAATGGCAGTAATGTTTCAACAGATTAAAGCTCTTTATTTTTCCCACTGCATATATCTTTTATAATCTTTGAAAAAACCAGAAACAATATTTTTTTTAATATAGGCTAAATATAATATTCTGGCTTGGGGGAGCTTCAATCACCTATTAAATCGCTTTCTAATGTACGCAAAGAAATTAGCTTCATATTTTCCTGATCATCCTACACTTTAAGAATATAAAAAAAAAACTTAATAAAGTTACTGTTACAAAATAAATTTAGAATGTACTAAAACTTATGAGCACTGGAAGACAAAATATACCCTTTTCATAACTTTTACTTACACTAAATTCTGACTAAATTCCGGTAGGCTCTATTACTTAATATGACAAACCAACTATCAGCACCATTTTCATAACAGTATACAACATTTAAACGAAATTTAAACCTAAATTAACTTTAACTGCACCATTACATGCTTTAAAGAATAAATAAGTACGCCAAATAACCAGTTCGATGTACTAAATGCTTTTGAGCAAATAAAGTCAAAAATTATGTCATTTCGAAATCAAATTAGTATAGCTTTATTGTTAGACAATAATTTCAACTAAATATATATTGACTTAAGATAATTAACATAAGTACACAATCGCTTGTGATGCAACTAATATACAAACGAAAATCAAATATGGCACTATAAGCAACATTTTGATACCATGGCAGTGACTTATTTACATAACTATTTTTTAGTTAAAGAAAACCTTAAATCCTTACTGAAAGTACACTTGTGACACTCAGGGGAAGGGTACTAAACAAATAACACCTCATTCGTCACAATCTGGTCAGTAATTAATGCTCTAGGTGGTTACAAAGGAATTACAAAAATCCCTCTTGAGTCAAGTAAAATTACTGAATTCACTTACATCGTCAAAGATCAGCTGATAATGAAAGAGAGAGGCTACTCCAATTGTCTTTTAATAATAGTTATCTACATGTCCATTTTTGACCGACTTCACAAAAGAAGGAGGTACTCAATTCGTCTGTATGTTTTTTTTTTTTATAAAAACTTACAAGTCATTTCCGACTTACATTTGTAGTCTAGAAGGGACCTGCCTCTGATTGGCGACGACATAACCCTTCCAAAATCTAATATAATACATCACATTTCACGTTAGGAGGTAATTTTAATGAATCCGAAGTGTGTGAACCCTGGCCGCAGCCACAATGTTCTGTTCTGTTCTCTTTGGGCGATGTTGACAGTATCACCTTTGTACAGTCTGGCGAGTGTGTGCGTTGCGCAGGAGATCTGCGAGCGGTCGAGCGCGCGCGTACTGGAGTCGTCGCCAGTCGCGCACGTGCTGAGGAGCCGCGGCTCCTGGTTGGGTTGCCGTGCCCATACGAAGTAACAGTTCGGCGCGTGTGTTAGGTATACGATCTGGTGGAATTCATTAGTAGGTGTAAATATTTGGTTGATAACTTGGGGTAAATTAAAAAAAACAGATTTTTGCCTGGTGGGAATGCGTTTTACTTCGTCAGTTACAGATTTTGAATGCTAATTAATAAATATCATTCCATTTTCCGAGACGGTAATGAGAAATTTGTACGTTGCTCTTTAAAAAGTGGCAGGCGCTCGCGAACAGTAGGTTTAGATGAAATAAGGGAAATCTGACTTTTTTAAAGCTAGTCTTTTGAATGGAACTATAAGAAATAATAGGATAGGCTTTTAGATGTGTTTTAACGAAAAATGGTCCGTTTGTGGTTAATTACTTTTGATTGCTGTCGTTTGCGCATCTCATTGTTAGCTATTTTTTTAAGAAAAGCCGGTATTGGGCTCATTACCGCTACTGTACCATAAACATGCAATAAAATTGACTGAATCGTAATCTCGAATTTTTGTTTAAATCGAAGTTTATTATAATGCGGGTCAACAGACTTCTTTTACATTTAAATATTACAAATACTGTTTTGTATTAGAAATTATTCATAATTTTATTAGCACACGCGTCATAACTAGGCGGATAACTGACGCTATTGTTTGTCCTGTTTAATATTTAGTGGTGAATAACGAATTGGTATTTTCTATGTATTTCTCCTAAAAACTGAACTCCCTTTAACATAGAAATAGGAATTATTTAAGTAAAAATTTACTTAAATTTTACTAACCTGTGTGTAAACAAAGTACAGTCCAGATTCCTGAATAACGAAATAGTTGGTATTGAGTTCTATTTTAGTTTCACTGCCTTTGGTTGATACCTCCAGGTCGCGTAGCCAAGGACCCACGATTGCTGAGGAACAAATAATACGTTAAAATTTTTAAAAACCTTTCTTAACCAATGTCAGTTGATGGAAAGATTATTTTTTTATAATATAAGGTAGCAAACGAGCAAGCGGCCATCTGAATCCACCGAAATGGAAAGCGACTGCCGCCCATAAATATCCGCAATTGCAGATGCGTTGCCTACCCTTAATTGATGGAGGAGAAGACGCACATAAAGAGGACATTTTCCCTTCTCATGCGTCTCCTCTACCGTCAAATTTACTTTTCCTTTCCTTTTAAGAATAGGGTGAGAAGGGAAAGGGACTAAAATTAGGCTAAGATTAAATTGGTCGGTTAAATATGCAATTATTTTTAAAATCATTTAATTATTTTTTGTGTCACGTTCGAAGGAATTTTAAGCGAGCTAAAGTTTTAAAGTTAGTTTTTTAATGAATTTAGTAATGTTACCTGAAGTAACTTGTATCTATAGGCCTTGTTTACTCGATAAGCGGAAATCGTTAATATAATCGCATAATTAAATAATTACTGCCATTATGATTACTGAGTTATATGAGTTGGCAACACTTGATATGCACGCCATAAATGATCGTATTTATTAGATGCTATATACAGCATGTTGCAAAATTAAATTTAAAACAAAAGGCGTTTTTATTTTTTTTAAATATTACAATTAAATGATAATTTTAGACCACAAACAGCTTAAAATTTTCCGAACACTAACATTGGTTAGAACAGAGTAACCTCTCACTTTAACCACATATAATTGTATTATTAAAAATGAGGAAAATCCGTAACTAGGGTTTGCGTAAGTCTAAATGTATCTAGGTATGCTACTAGACGTCAGTTCTGAGAAAAAATATATTTCTCTTACATTTACGATAATCTTAAAGCGATTGTAATAACGAAGGCGTTATGAGTCATAAAAATCTATTTGTTTATTAAAATATAATGTTGATATAAATTTGTAATATCTAAGAGGATCCGCAACTGTAACTTTTTTAAATATTAGTAGATTGAATTTATTCCTTTAACTATTTCAACTAAGTTCTAGGCTTATGCTAGGATATGGTTTACATTAGACGAATGACGGGATTCGAACCCTCGACCGCCAGATCGGTAGTCCGTACCCTAAACCATTAGGCTATTGGCGCTTTAACTGGGTTTAAACTTTAAAGTGTTCCTCTCTATATAATAACCGTGGGTTTCAATACTAAAACAGAAAGTAACTTATCTCATATAAAAGACTTTTTACTAATGTTTATTTGTATAACAGTTGGATCACGCGAATGATCTAGATTATATCTAGGTGTTCCAGCTGACGCCTATGTATTGGTTGATAATTTAATTGAAATGGTATAAATGTGTCACTTAACGGCACTTAACGAACACTTGAGATAACCGTAAAGTGGTTCTTTATTTTGCAACAACTTGCACTGCGATAGCCTAATATCTGAGTATCGGATTGTGACCTGAGGTTAAGTTAATTATGAGTACTGTTAAATTTAATTTTTCCGTTACGCATTGTCAGATTTTATAAAATACCCCTTTGTTAAAATTGCATTAATGTTTATGGTCGGTTTATTCCCATAATCATTTGCTAGGTTTTTTTTACGAAATACAGATGTATTAGCTCGTTTTTAATGTAAATTCGTATTTTTTCTTTTTCGAAATGATGAATACCTAAATTATGACATTTTTTAACGACAGTCTATGACAAAACATTTTCACATTCCTCAAAACAAGATTTTTTAAAATGATGTAATAAAATTTCTGATACGAAGATTTCTGATGAAGCGAAGGGGTAAACAAGCAGCGGGAACACCGAGATGTTCAGCGAAGACTATGCCGACATCCGTAATACCAGAGTATTTGTCAATAGACAGCCCTACGACTGTTTACTATTGTTATTGTAAATTCTTGATAAGGAATTAAATGCTTGCTTCCGTTTGAGTGTTTGCGTCTATTATGAAACTAATCTTTGAAACTGGATCGTGTCAAGAGATTTTTATAGAACAGTTAGCAACTCAAGTTTCATTGTTCGACCTAAATATTTACAACTTGACTATATGAATTTGTAACTTAAAGCAAATGAATTTAAAATAAAGTCAAATTTACGCGCGAAAATGACCACAGACACAATATTTTAATTTCGTAAACATTAAAATAAAGATCATAGATGTTAGGTACAATATGTTGTTTTATATTCAGCTAGCTTTCGCCTGCGTATCCGTCGAATTAAAAAAAAAATCAAGAGTGTGAGCCTATGTGTTCTTCCAGACTATCCTATACATCTATACCAAATTTCATCGAAATTCAGCCGTTTAGGCTTCAAACTCCAACAAACATCCATCCATCCATCTAAACTTTCGCATTTATTATATTAGTATGAAAGTATATGTCGCATTGTATAATAAAACTAATCTTAAGTATTGTGTAATACTGAAAATTACCTATTCACTCCCTTAACCTAACTAAAAATATTTATCTTTGTTCCTAAGATGTATATGTTTTCTTAAGTCCACACACAAATAAATCATTGCTAAATAATATATTAACATGTGTTAGTATTATACGAATCACTTAAAATAATTCAAATTAAAAATTATAGTGCAAAATTAATATTCTAAACATTATTATGTGTAATATTATTAACCCAAAAACTCCCATAATAAAACAAATTCATTGACTAATAATTGAGTAATCCTTGTTAAAAAGTCCAATAAATAATAACTATTTAAGTGTGGAATGCATCTTTAATTACCGACAGCTTTCCTTAAAAAGAACATAACAGTGTCTGGCTACTTCGTTTGTAATCAACAGATTAATCCATCTGAACCTTCTGAAGCTTAATAGAGTATCAAGTTTGTATAAATTATTCAATTATTACAATTTGCACTTTATAATGTCTACAAAAGGTTGCAATTTGAATGGCTAGAATGTTAAAACAATGCAACTAGGACTTAGACATCCTGCGGTACATAAATTATCATTTTAATCACATATTTGTTGTGCGAACGCTACTCTGATATGTGAATGAATGGTACAAATGTTATGACAAACGAATATAAACATTAACACAATGGAGTTACAGTTAATATTACATTGTGCATATTAGGAATTAAATATATATTTTTATATTGTATTGATTCTTTGTTAGCTTTATTTGTGATTCACCTCAATATTGATTGTTAATACTGTGATTGTATTGAAAAGTTAACTTATGAAAAAAATAGGTTGAAATGTATAAAATTTTTGATTTAAATAGGTACTACATGGAGAAGAAGAGTGGTAAGGGCTTTTTAAATTTAATAAAACTTTGAAATTGGTGTAAACATACCTTGAGACCCCATATTAACTTCCCTCATGGCTCCATTGAAGTGAACTACCAGAGGCTCTAAAATGTAAATTTTCAACCATTAAATGAAAATAAAAAAATAACATACTTTTTAAAATTAAGTTAAAAACAATATCTACCTTTTTGGAATGCTGCCATGTCATAAACAGGGGCCTTGTCTTCTTTGGAATCCTTTTTACTGGAGTCAACAAGCAACATGTCCTCCCCAAGGTCTTCAACATAGTACCTCCTGGCATTTGGTGAAATATCCTCCTTGGCGAAGTTCATACGCGGCTCGCGGCCCTCCGCTCGCACTTGAGGCCGCAGCCTCGACACCAAAGCACTATGCACAGGCTTGTCCTCTTCCCCTACACCGTCTTTGAAGTTCTGAATTAAAAACTGTTCTCGCACCATCTCTATCTGTTTCCTCATCGATATCATCTCGTTCCAGTAGTAAAATGCTACCGAACAACTAATTATCATACACACGACGCTAAGCAAGAAGTTCATTATGAACAAAAGTTTTATTTTCTTGGAAGACGCTATCGACAAAGTCGTGTTTATATGCACTCCGACGTCTGCCGGTTTCTCTAAAAATATAAAACAAATTGATTTCACGTAGTTAATTTAAATTATTAATAGATGAAAAAGCTATAATCACCTGTTTTTAAATGTATCACAGTTCCATCTTTAACTTTTCTATCGTTACTTGTATTCAAAAAAATATTCGCCGCACCTGGTGAGTTTAGAGGAACCCCCTCGCACAAGTTTATTTTTTTATCTGCATCCATTATTATTGTTATAGTACAGCGTACTACTGTTTATGCAAAATATTAACGTGGGCGACGCCGTCCCTAAACAAAGGAAGTAAAGCTTATTAAAAGTTCGCACGAACCGTACGATAACCGAGAGTTGATAACAAAAAACACATTACATACCGAAAATATTTCGTTTGCACTACATAAACTCACTTAACTATGTTTCATTTAATTCTATTTTAAGTTTTTCAAAGTCTTAATTCTCTAAAAACCGGTCCGTTCTTACACCAAAACAAACAAAAACGTAAATAACACAAGCGAAACTTTCAATTTGTTCGTTTTCTGACGGCCCACAATGGCGCGATCGTGCGGCTTGGCCGCCCGCTACTGGACTGTATGTCGTCGCGCCAAATTCAAACTGAGAGCCTGTGAAGGAGCGGTTGGGCCGAGAACAGAATGTGGTCGCGCGCGGTACGTCACCGAGTGCCTGTAGTGCGTGCTCTTAACTTTTACCAATGAATGTAATGCTTCTCATAGTTTTAATCGTCCTTTTATTGCTTTTGATAGAGTAAAATTGCAACCGACAGCAATTTGCAAATATTGTAACAAACAAAGCCTTCACATTAGGTAGACCTTCGCGGTAATTTCGTCGTAGGTACATATAGTTTAGACAGTTTGTGTTAATCTGTCCAAATAAAAATTAAAACAGATTAATTAGTAACTGTCGCTTGCAATAATTTTAAAATTAAAAAATGGTCAATAATTGTACTTTGTATTGTTTAAATATTAACATTATTGGTTTTTTTATTTCATTCATAAATACAAAATAAATCATTATTTCGATACATAAAATTTATCTCTTTTGAGTACTGATGACGTCACGAAGTGTATTTGAAATATTATTACCCAGAATTCCGCAAAATGTCAAATCCGGAAAATAAATTTTGTTAGTAAAAAGATTTTAAATGAAGATATCAATAAAAAGGTACCTTCTTCTTAGATGTTTTTTACAATACGGTCATTGTTACTTTTACCTGTATATTGTGAAGGTGTATATTACTCCTTACATATCTCAGGTAGTTTCCGGAAGAGAACGGAAATCGTAAGTCATTTGTAAAACGAAACGCACTAGCGTTTCAAATATATTTCCACAACGCCGGTTGCTGAAATATAAAGTACCGGCGAATCCAAAAACAGATGCAATGCTTATGACTGCACCTATTACAGACCAGCTGCTTCCATTCCTTGCTCTTATTAAGTGCCGCATCGTTTATTGATAATATCCGGGAATTTGCACAGCCTAAAAAAAAGATAACGCAAATCACAGAAAAAACTAAAACAGTTGTAGATAGTGTAGTGTGGTATTAAAGTTCAAACGATATAAAAACTATTATCAATTCACAGTTTTAATTTAGCGAACATATTTTTTTAACGAAAACAACGATTAAATAGAGCAACATATTGTATTTGTTTTATGCGGGTTAATAAAATTTCATGCTTCCCCTTAAGTTACAGCAAGCAACATGCAAATATAACTTCAGAGATTCTATTCGCGGACACGTGCGAATTGTAGAATGCTTTCAGATTTAGACTGGGATTTGTACTGAAAACTTCGTTGTTTTTCTTTGGTGTTCTGATAGTCGTTACGTAAATAAACCGAGGTATTCAAATCAACAAGTAAATTATCAATCGTTAGTTAATCATTGTAATTAATTTATGATTTATGTTCAAAGTTCAGGAATTCTTGCTTGATTGGAATTCAGGCTTTACTTTAATATGTGGCAGTAATTGAATGTTTATGTTTTCTAAAAGATTGTTATGATTGTCGATGGTACATGTAAAGATATTCCTGCAGCAGTAAATATCTGTGTGATCTCCAGATACACTGGTACTGGCTGGTGACTGGATATTTTCGTCTTGTCTGGAACAGTATTCGAATTGCCTGCCAGTGCCATGCCAATGTACATATTTGAGATGTCCAAGCTTACCGTATTTATGATTTCAATAGTAACCATCTACAGCTTCTTTAATGTTATTATCAAATTCAAAATTAGACTACAACTGCAATATAGAAATGGAGAAAAGTTGATAACATTTGCATTACAAAAAAATAAGCGTTATTCTTTGTTTTAAAATTACATTAGGCGCGAAAATAAAAATTGACATAACTACAAGTGTACTTTTACTAGGGTAACAGAAAAGTTACAATTTTGTTTGTCATATTAGCGACATTGAAGTATATTGTAAATTACATTTAGTAACTTAGTAATAATAGCCACGTGGTTATACAATCTAGTTTTTGTGTTGGATGACCTAAATATGATTCAACTTATTTTACACGTGCTCTCGTCCAAGCATTGGTTTAATATTGTCTATGATACGACATCCATAACTATCTGTGTGTTGTTATAACTTTTTTATACCAGCAGGCAGCAGGTCAAGGAATTCAAAAGATTCTGCCTCATGAAAAATATTCGACATAATAAGTCTTTCATTTTATTAAATCAATTTGGTCAAATACTCGAAAGCTTATAAGAAAACATGATAAATTAACTATCAAACGAAAGTGTGCCACTATGTACGTACTGAGAACTGCAGTTTTTCGTTACGCGGAAAACTTAATGATTCGCCTTTGTACTACAGACAAGAAAATAAGCTGAAAAATTGGAACTCACGTGAATCACCGCGTGACTGATTCATACAACTGGTATGTTTGAAACTTGCAGCGTCTGCAACGAAATATTGATTTTTATTGATGAATACATGGTCTTTGTCGTTTTCATTGTTATTATACAATGCAATAACATTGTTATGTAGGAACAAAGAACGCTTTTAGCATAGTACGGGTTAAAGTTCCGGCGATATGAATAAACTCGCGGTTGCTTTAAGACAAAGTTGCATGGGAACAATCCTTATCAGCTGCGGCGGGTATAGCGAATAATTCTAACGATTGAAACGTGTTTATTTCCAACAATACAAGGATTGGGTATTTTAAAAAATGACATACGGTGCGGGTTTCAATGTTAGATGAACCCTTTTTATCAAATAACTGATCGAAAAGCGTCAAGCTAAGTCGCATTTATTTATATGGCACGTAGAATTAAACAGAAAATTTGTTCGTTTTCATGATATCCAAGAGTTTTTTATGATATATGTGTTTTGACGTGTGCTCTCACATCAAGGAAGTATTGCCGGCGGCTGGCGGATGAGTAAGCCTGTCATTGCCCCTGCTGTGGCACACATAACCGTTACGCCAATGTTTACATTTAGGTCGTTCTCTCTGTGACACGATGATTTACAAAAAAAAACTATGACATCGTGCCCAAGACCTTAATTTAAAAACTTCGTTTTTTAATAAGAAGGATTTTGCAATATTCATACTGGCTGGTTATAAATAAAGTAAAACTATCGGATCACGCAAAAAATTCTTTGTTTAATCTATGCTGTGGTCAAAAACCGGTATAATAACCTTAACAACTCCAATCCGGGTTTGTGGATAGACAAAGACCACGGTGTGTGGCGCCCAAATTTTGCTTTTATTTATACTGAGTAAAAATTTGAGATAAACTTGGCAGAAATTAAAGTCCTTTCTCTTCTATAATATTAAAAATAAAAAAGAACACGTGAAAGTGTATCGTCTCGTGCAAAATTTTGTTCTAATTTTAATCTTTGTCATACGCGGAAATGTGCGTACATCTTATTTGGAGTTCGAGGAAATTAACGAAGTGACGATCATCTACACCGTTCTAAAGGGGGGTACCAGTACGAAGAAAGCAAATTCATGACATTCTCCCAGCTCACTATGGTGCTTATCTAATTTACGAGCAATTGTTACGCAATTACTGCACGTGGTAGTAAACAACGCATGTTTGGATGGCTTCCATTCAAGTATACAAAGTAGTTATATGTTTATTATTTTTAAAGTAATGAATGTTGGATGATAATATCGAATATTTGGTTGTTATACGATTATAGATTCACGGAACATTTGCATTTCACAACATAATTTAAACCATTCAAATTTTTATTGTTCATTGTTCGACACTAATATTAAGATAGTGTTTTGTTTTTATTAGATACATCGAGGTTTTCGTGTCTGTGTTCAATATTAAAACATTTGTAAAATTAGTACCAATAACATGCGGTACCGGCATGCGAATTATTGCGAAAAAAGGTTGAATGAACCGGGGGGATGACTTACTCTTTTATAATGCGGCAGCATCCGAAACATTTCCGCATAATCTTATGAAATTAGTAAAGCCACATGTTTCTGTATTCCTAGGATTGTCACATTTTCGTCATTTCTATATTTAGTTTCGTTTCAAATGTACATAACGAACAAAAAAATATTTTGTTTGATATGGTTACCCTAAGTGTAAATGAATCCTTGCGAACGGTTCCAATCATTAATTCCCTTTTGCAGTTTAGGAGAAAAATTACTTTTTTTTGGCTTGCATGACTTGAACAAAGAGTTATTCTTCCATTTTAGCATAATCTTCATCAACTGTTTGATGATATACCATTTTTTTGTAGATAGATAAGCTATAATGAATGAATAATTGTTAAAAATGCAGTTTTAGATTTTTGTTAATAAAAATGTAAATAATTGCTAATTTCACCTATGCAATTACAGACTTGCACGCGCGAATTATTTGTGGAGTACGTGAGTAAACACACGACGTTTTGTTTTTCACGAAAACGAGTGTTGTTGATGTTAATGAACAATGTTTATTGGCGTTTGTATCTGACCTTTCAATTTTTATTAGCGAGTAGCTTTCACCCACGACTTCTTTCGCGTGGAATTAAAAAAAAACAAAAGCAAGTAACCTATGTATTCTTCCAGACTATGTCCTACATTTATTCCATTCATTGAGATCCGTTCAGCAGTTTCAGCGGCAAACTCTAACAAACATCCATCCAAAATTTCGCTTTTATAATATTATTGAGATGTATTCTATAGTTTTATCAATCAAAAGTTTTCATTAAGAAATTCATCTTTAGGAATCGATGACAACTACTTCTTTTCTGTAAAAGAAAATTAAACACAATATTTGAATGTATGTCTTTAAAGGATCTCAATTTCGAAAGGAGGTTACGAATTTGGCCGCTATTAAGAAGGATTTCACACCGTTATCGTACCGAGGTTGTTGAGACCGTTATTAACGTGGTATAGTTATGTGGGACAGTGAAATTTATTCTTAGAATTATGAACCACGTATTCATACGTCTAGACTAAACGGTATCAATATGGGGCTGTGGGCTTACGATCACGTTACTGTTTAGTAATAATTGCTAAATGAATATTATCTGAAAGTACATTGTTTCTTAAGAGAATTGTATGTACTTAGAGATATAAGTAAGAAATAGAAGTTGTTGAAACTCATAATTTATCGATGAATCTACTTAGTTGATCCAATATTTCAA